CTGTCCTTTGGGGACATGTCCTGTCCTTTGGGGTCATGTCCTGTCCTCTGGGGACACACCATGTCCTTTGGGGACCTGTCCTGTCCTTTGGGGTCATGTCCTGTCCTTTGGGGACACAACCTGAACTTTGGGGACATGTTAAGTCCTCTGGGGACCTGTCCTGTCCTTTGGGGTCAGGCCCTTTGGGGACACATCCCATCCTTTGGGGGACAGCTCATATCCCAAAGAGTTCCTGCCTTCTGGGGACACCTCTTGAGGTCCCCAAGTTTCACCAACGACACCAAACGTCTCCTGGAGCCGGGGCTCAGCCCAGCGCCGAAAGCTTTGGGGCACAGCCCAGGCGACATCCCCCAGCCTCAGTGTCCCTGTTGTCCCCGCAGGCCACCATCCTGGTGTTCCAGGCTCTGGCTCAGTACCACGTCGCGCAGCCGAGGCAGTCGGAGCTCAACCTGGACGTGTCGGTGCTGCTGCCGCGCCGCGCCAACGCCGTCACCTACCGCATCGAGAGCAGCAACGCGCTGGTGGCGCGCTCCGCAGAGGTACGGCGCCGTGTCACCCTGTCACCGGTGTCACCATGGTCACTGGTGTCATCCTTGTTGATGCCACTCCAGTCCTTGGTGTCACCATGGTCGCTGGTGTCATCCTTGTTGATGCTGCTCCAGCCCTTGGTGTCACCACTGTCATCCTTGTTGATGCCACTCCAGCCCTTCATGTCACCATTGTCACCGGTGTCATCCTTGTCATTGATGCCGCTCCAGCCCTTGGTGTCATCATTGTCACCGGTGTCATGCTTGTCACTGATGCTGCTCCAGCCCTTCGTGTCACCTTTGTCACCTGTGTCATCCTTGTCATTGATGCCGCTCCAGCCTTTGGCGTCACCACAGTCACCAGTGTCATCCCTGATGATGCCACTCGAGCCCTTCATGTCACCATGGTCACCAGTGTCATCCTTGTTGATGCCACTCCAGCCCTTCATGTCACCATGATCACCATTGCCATCCTTGTCATTGATGCCACTCGAGCCTTTGGTGTCACCATTGTCACCAGTGTCATCCTTGTTGATGCCACCCCAGCCCTTGGTGTCACCATTGTCACTGGTGTCATCCTTGTTGATGCCACTCCAGTCCTTCGTGTCACCACTGTCACCGGTGTCATCCTTGTCATTGATGCCGCTCCAGCCCTTGGTGTCACCAGTGTCATCCTTGTTCCACCCCAGCC